TCATGAACTGCAGGCTGTTAGATCAAAATAAATGCAGATTTAACTGCTAGTCAGCTGGGATTAATGATTATTGCACACTTAGTAATCAGTACTACTGTGCTGATTATTAACTTGTCTGTAGTTATGGTTCATTGAGCACAGCTGAGCATTCTGCTGATGTTTTGCCAATTATATGTCTATATTTGGTTTTTCTGTTTTTCAGGCCATCTCCTTTCTGACAGGCTTTGTCAATAGACTTCCTTCCTTTTTCATGCATAAAGAAACCGTAAGGGATAGTTATAAAATACCGCTTTCAGATATCAGCATTTTGCATTCCTTGATACATTGTGATATGATTTAAATAGTCTAATTCTTTGCTAGCATTAGCAAGAAAGTGAATAGTAGGCAAATGGCTGAAGCCTAAGCCACTACATTTTATTTACATTTATAAACACGGTTACCTATCTTAATGGTAATAACAAAGGGCATTTCCAAGTAATAGAAATACTTAAAAAGAAATATTGTAATTATACATATGTTAAATATGTATCATTTGGCTAGTTTTTATGCTGTTTGTCTGAACTCAGTGCCAATGGACATTTCTCCAGTTCTGACAAGAAATTGCTAAATAAAAATTATTTTTGAGGTAGTTTTTTTTAAAAAGAGCAAGAGTAAGATGCTGATTTCTTCTCCATATACTGTAGATGAGGCAAGATGAGCATTGGCTTTATAAAGTTATATCTCACTGCTACTAAGTCTAACTGACTTAGTTTTTAGGTTTCCTTTTTTTTTTTCCAAAACAAAGAATAGGTTATGATCATTGAGATTCAGAAAAATAATGAGCATGAAGATAATTTTTAAAAAACTGTTAGATGATTTATTTTGCTGAATACTTTTTAAATCTATGGACCTGATAACAGATATCATTACAGCTTTTTTCAGACAGTTTTTGACATGAAAATTTCAACTGTAAGTACTGTATATTTTGGAGTGTAAGATGCACTTTTTCCCCTCAAAAAAGAGGCTGAAAATCTGGTTGTGTTTTATACACTGAATACAGCATTTTTTGCCTCCCGAAACCCCGCCCCCTTCACCAAAATGGCTGTGCATAGCCTTTAGGAGCCTTGCAGAGTGCTCCTGGGGGCTGGGGTGGGGGCAGAAATGAGCAAAAAAACAGGCCATTTGTTGCTCTATTTTGCCCCCTCGGCCCCCAGAAGCACTCTATAAACCTCTTAAAAGCTATGCATGCCCCTTTTTTAAAAAAAATGGGCCCATTTTTGTGAAAATGGGCCATTTTTTTACTCCTTTTTGCCCCCTCCCCCCCAGCCCTCAGGTGCACTCTACAAGCCTCCAAAAGGCTATTCATGCCTTTTTTGGAGGGAGGGGGAATGAGCCATTTTTGGGAGGTCTGCAGAGCGCAAAAACTTTTTTTAAAATTTGCCTCTTTAAAACCTTGGTGCGTCTTATACTCCGAAAAATATGGTAGTTCAAACGTCCATAAAAGATTAAACATAGCATTAATTGTAAATGATACTTTCTTCAACGTAGTATTGGCCTTTCTAATTGAGAACAGATGTTTAGATACTGGCAGCACCGCTGACAATAAATAAGAGGGAAATGCAAGGAGAAGTAACAACTGCATTGATTTCTGTTCCTTTGTTTCCTGCTGCAGGGCTACACCTGCAAAGACAACTGTCCTATTTTTGTTCTTGAGCAACCAAATTTAGGTACAATCTACAACTTTTTATTACATTAGAATAAACACTCCCTTCATGAAATATGTCAGTAAAGTTTTACTGTGCCATCAGATTTTTTTATCCCAATTACTGCTTTTTCCTATGAGCAGCTTAACAGGAAAGTTAATGTGGTGTTAAACCAACTACTACTCATTATCATAGTAACTTGAATTTATGGACAGATCTTAAATATAGTATTAATGATAACTATGCAACCTGCTATATATTTGGTTATCATTTTAGATATTTTTTTTTGCCTGCACAGAGAAACAATGATAATAGGGCGGATTTTAAAAAATAGAAAAAAAAACAGTGGGAGTGGGAGTGACTTCTGATTTTCTGTCCTCTTTCCCATTGATTAGATTAGATTAGATTAGAGGTTTATTTATATGCCGCCCTTTTCCCTGAGGGGACTCAGGGCGGCTCACAATCCAAAGGAAGGGGGGAAAACAGACTTTTACATATAAGACCAATACATGGTTAAAACACAACATTCATACCATTCGGGCGGGTTACAATCTTTAGCCCCAGGCCTGCCAGATTCTGAGGGCTGTGCGGAAGGTCTGGAGGGTGAAAGATTCTTACCTAGATGGGCACCAGTGATATGATATTACTTGTTGTGTTCATGTAAGATACTTA